TGGGTTTCAAATTGGAGAACAACTTACATAGAATAAAATCATCGTCAACATCCCCACCCATATATTATTAAACCAAAATGCTGCATAATGGTAACTCATTCCATTCCATGTAACTCATTTCCTCCAAAGTCGACCAAAACAGACAAAATGTACGAAAAGACGTGAGCCAACAAGGTGAGCGAGTGGATGAAATTGAAAACAATCTAAAAGTTGGGAGGACCAAAGTGAAAAGAATGGAATTAAAGCGATGACCACAATGAGAGTAAATAGCAAACAAATTGTGTATTGGAAGCTCAAAACATACAAACTGGTTATGCAATGGAAGTTACAACTTGTTTAGGATCAAGTTACAAAACTGTACGAAACTAGTTTTTTTATCTCGTCACACAAGATGTTTCACCATGTAAGGTCCTTCGAGTTCGTAGCCTAATTTCCTATAGTAATGACGAGTTCCTACTCCAGAAATGACAGCAATCTTTTTCGACCTATGCTCCCTGCTAGCAATCCGCTCGGCCTCCTCCATCAAAAGGGTACCATAACCCTGTTTGAATCAATTAGGGCATGGAACATGTTAGACAGAATACTCCTATGATTTATGAAGTTTGATGAGGCAGATCAACCCCAACATATTCATCTCAACACTTACGGTAACATAAAACAATTGATGTACGAGCTACATTACCTGGTGTTGCAGCTTGTCAGAATCCCGCCCGTGAACTGGAACAGCAGTTCCATAAACATGGAGTTCACGAACAATAGAGCACTTCCCCATGAGTTCGGGACAAGTAGTATTGCGGCCACACTTTCTTAAACGCAGTAACCCGACAAGAATGTCCTATTTACAATAAGAATCAAACAAAATCATGTTAAAGTGTCAGTATAGACAACCTGCCCACCGGGTAAAACTCAAGCCATAAGATTCTGTGCACAAATCACTATGCAAATCCGAGAAACAAGGAAGTTTTGGAAAGAGAGATCCTCAGTTCATCTATATATGCTGAAGCGAAAATTAAATTAGATATTCTACTCAATATTACAATCATCATCTTCAGGTATTTATAGAAGGAATACCTGGCGAGTATCTTCATATGAAAGAAATGTTTCCCATCCTTCATTTGCCGTATAATCACGACGAACAAGCTCCACTTGGTCCGGCCTAATTTTGTGATGTATGTCCTAGAACCATCAAGAATGTTCAGTATAGTTTCATTCTAGGGGTAGGGGTGGAAGGTCAAATTTGAAGCCTCATTAGTATAAAGCATATTCAAACAAGAATGACTACCGGCATACCTGAATTCCAGCCTCTCGTGTTCGAACATCACGGCACTTCAAGCCCAAGTCTTCCATCCGAGCCAAAGCTAACTCCCGAAGATTTCCTTTCTCAACCCCAGAAGTAACAAGAGGCATTGGAATGTCTCGCTGAACTCTGTAAACACGTGTCCAAGGGGGCACCATAGCTAGGATCCTTGCTACAATGTCCACAAGTTGCTCAGGTGGGTAATTTCTGTACCTGAAAAGAAGAAAGGAAACTGCAATTACTTTCCAAACACAAACCTAAATGCAATCAGTATTTTCGAATAAGTGTTGCACCGTTTAGTAAGACACGTAATAGATTTCATAATGCTCTATATCTGAATTCCTTGTAATAAGTTTTGTATAAAATTCATAATAAAATCATACCTGCCAGTTTTCCAAAGCTCATAAAGTCCAGTTCCACGGATTACAAGTGTTGGATAAATTTTAAGCCCATCTGCTCGGAATGAGGGGCTCTCAAAAAACTCCCGAAAACTCTCCATGTCTCTCTCTACTCCTACATTTGGAAGATCAGGCATCATGTGTGCAACCACCTAGAGAAATGCATAAAATTATTAGTGTGAAAACAAAGTTAAATCAACCTGAATGACTAGAATACACGGCATAAATGTTGGGTTTTTTCCAGCCCATGATAAGTCGTCCTAAGTCTATTGGGAATTAATAGTCTTAGAGGATTAAATTGTTTTTCCAATTGGAGTTGTTTTCCCAATTGGAGTTGTTTACCCAATTGGAATTAATTTCTCAATTGGAGTAGGTTTTATAACTAGTTTCCAATTAGGATTAATAATCCTTATTGAAGAAGACCTTTATTGTGTCTATATAAAAGGGCTATTGTACTAGTTTTAAGAAGGGAGCAAACAAATAAATTGTATACCGCTCAAGAGATTAGAGTGAGAGAATATTGTGTGTGCGAGAGAAAAGAAAAGAGATAGTGTATTTCTTGTTCTTGTTCTTTCAGGTTTTTTTGTCAAGTCCTAGTTCTAGAGATTTGGCAAGATTATTGGTTGTACTCATTATTGATATAGTGAAAGATTGTTGTTGCTGTCCCGTGGACGTAGGCACATATTGCCAAACCACGTAAATTCTTGGTGTTATTTATCTTGGTTATTTGTTTTCGATTTCCAGAATTTATTCTATTTTTCCCTTTCTTAAACGTGATATTCTCAACAATAAATGCATGTTGTAAATAGATAGTCCTCAAGACTGTACATATTGCAATTCATAGTACTATGGCTGTACAAACACACGCCTCTTCTTGAACTTAGAGAGAATTAATGGTAGCATCAAAACCAACTAGGTTTCGATAAAATATTCTCGCAAGAGCATAACATAATTTGAAAAATATCTCCAAGCTGACGTATAATGACAGATTAATCTTCTATTGGTACAGAAAGGTCCAAAATGCAATTTTTCCCCAATGAAGGTAAGTGAGTTTTAAGATAGGGAACTAGGCTGACCTTGAAACCAGCATCCTTTGCCAAGCAAAAGCAATCAGCCACTGCAGCAACAGTATGACCTCTATTGGTATCACGAGCCACATCCTCATACGTACTCTGCACACCAATCTCTAGTCTTGTACAACCATAAGAAAGCATTTGTCTCAAGTGAGGTCCAAGGCAATAATCTGGCCTCCTGCAAGGCAAAAAGTTACAATCACCTCTGTTGACTTTCTGGACTGGCCCGATCAATTGATCAATAGATGGGAAGTTAAAAAATTACAGTCAACCAAGTTAAATACAAGAATGCGAAATTAACGGCTTCAATAATAAGACTCACGTTTCAATGGTCATTCCAATACATTTAGTAGCACCATGCTCAGAGTAGGCAACTGCCTCTTCAACATTGGCGGAAGTGTGTCCTGATAACGCGTCGTGCAGATTCCTAATAAAGTAATCACGGTAATCCGCTGGCAAAGACATGAACGTACCACCCATTAGGATGAACTCAACCTGAAAACACAAATCCATTACGAGTGAGAACCGGACACATATGCATATTTCTCTATCACGGCAATCTGCGCAGCCGAAAATAAATTCTTTAAGCTCTAAGAAACAGTCCGAACCTTGTCTACACTGTGACCCAATCTCTTCAGCTGATCTATCCTGCTTCTAGCCTGGACATATGGGTTGTATCTAAACACACAAAACCAAAAGTTTAACAACCAAATTAACTTCATTAATCCGATTTTAAACACCAACTCCTTCAAATAATCTCTTAATTACAAAGCCTTCACTTTCATGGTGAAACATCAATCAAGCCGAAAACTTTAAACTTCGAAACGAATCAATTAATAACATAAAACTTGAATTGCCTATCAACTGTTCGATAAAATGCGTCAACGAACTAAAGAAAGCCATACCTGGCCCGAATTGCGCGCATGCTGGTAGGCTCGTATCCAGTGTAAGACTGAGTGCTGTACTCGAAGTCCGAATCGGGACCACCGGGGCAGTACACGCAAATATTCCCGGTGGTGGCGATGTGGGGGCACCGATGAGGCTTCGACATCACGGCCACGACGGCGATGCCCGAGGCGGTTCGGACCGGCTTGGCCCGGAGCTTGGGGAGAAGAGCCTCGCGGTCGGACTCGGGCAGAGCCGCGATCATTTCGACCAGCTTCGGCGCACGTGCGAGGCCGTACTTGCGGCACGCGGTGGTCTTGAGGGCGTTTAGGTCGACGTTTTGGCCTTTCCGGGAGAGGTCGACCATGGAGCTGACGATTTCGGCTATGGCTCGGACCCGGGCCTCTTCTTCGGATAGTCCATGGGCTTCGAATCCGCCCCGACCCGGCCGGGGTTGCTTTCTCTCGGATACTGGTAGCACTGCAGTCGCCATGGGAGAGAGAGGAAAGAGGGAAGCGAGGAAAAGAGGTTAAACTGGAACCGCCGTTTCTACGCTTAAGCTCGGGTTTATTAAGGTTTAACTAGAACCTTTTTGGTTTTTTCTTTTTATCAAACCTTTATGGTTTTTTGGTCATTTAAACAGACTCCAAGTAAATATCCAAACACATCTTATTATAACAATGAAACAGTAATTTGTAGGGATAGATTTTTTTTAATTTTTTTTATTAAAATGTATTCCTAGAAGAGGAATGCGTTTTTTTTTTTAAGGAGGATAACTAGTGGCAAGTCACGGTTATCTACTCATTTCGGAGGCTGAGAAGACTCACAGAGATATTTCATCACTTGGAAGCATCTGTTTCTCTTCATTAATTATAGGTGTACGAATTGAAACTATAAAAATAATTTATAAAAAGTTTAGGGTGTAAATTGAAGAACACACCCAAACTTCCAAGTGTAAAATGGAGTTAGCCCTTCTTTTTATTACAAACGCTCTATAAGCTAGATTAAGACATAGGGTTTCAACCTCGGGAGACCATATTCATCAGGGCAAAGCTACCACATACATATCCATATGTATTAAGATTTTATTTGATAAATGTGTTTCTTTTAACTCGTTATATCCTTTTGTAGAATATGTTATTTGTGTGCATGCGGTCCAATATCTTAATGCATAAGATTTTTGGGTTTCTACCCATATGTCCAAAATCAAAACTTTGTCGTCCCCCTAAATTATTGTAATAGTTTCGAACTCTCTCCTCCCCTAATAATAGTAAAAATTTATAAAAAATCTGTTGTTTGTCGTATTTGCCTCTTTCAAAATAGAATAATGCTCAAAAGAGAGGGGGATTCAAACTTGAGAAGTAAATCTTCATTGCTAGTTTCTGAGGAGAAAATACAAATCGACAATTTCGAAAGAGAAGAAAAACAGTGATATTAACCAGCGGCGTGAACTGTACAAACAGAAGGCCGACATAATTTCGATCATTTTGGTTGATAAAACCAATAAGCTTTAGTATTTGATGACATTGGAGTGGGGGATGATAATTGTCCCCTTGGATAGACTGGAAGGTAGCCCGATATTCTTCTTCGCCATGGATGTACTTTCCGCTGACTCTAGTGCTCGGGAAGCTTGGAGGGCCATCTCAGCGTGGAGTTGCAGGCATGCCATAGCCATCTACAACACGAAAAAAGCATGTGAGCAACAAGTCATGGGGACACAGGTAAATTCAATGGACGTTGTCGCAATTAGAAACAATCAACGAAGATAAGAGAGCTGGCAATGCATGGAGAAAGGTTTCGGGCGCGGGGGGGGGCAGAACGTTCATGCATACACCTATTCAAAACCACACATCGGATGAACAGCATGTGATGGTAGCTGTGATAGGGGGATGAATACGGTTGCTCCATTTCAAAACTTACGCAATTTAAGAAATATGACATCAGCAAATGCACCCTCCTCAATCAAAGTAAGAGTATAAAGTTCAAGAAATGGTTTTTGATAAAAATCACGATGTCCTTCGACCATCTCCAATTTGGAGTGGAGGGGTTCAAAAACTTATAATCTTGCCCCCCAAACCTTCTCCAATGCATGTATGGTCGTGTGCACGTTCAAAATTAGTGAGTATAACATGCCAACAGAGATGAAGATAACAGGACCGCATGATTTGCAAACCCTTGGGGAGTTCAAGGATTAGTTGCTTACCGTGTAGCACTCTCTATCACTGTCAGATTCAGCTACATGAAGGGCCCATGTGCGCACCCATTCAAGCCCGCTAGAAATTTCAACATTTCCTTCAACCAAAGAGGTTGCTACATAAGAGGGATGAAGTGATAGCAGTACGCACGAAGCTGCAAAAAGGGCAGCTTTTCTAACATAAGCTTCCTTGTGATGACATATCTCCCTGCATGTAGTTAAAACCACAGTTTTAGTGACATAAAATACAGTTGAATGCATAAGTTCAATGAGAAATGTGCTGTTAGAAAACCATAACCTAATCATCATTTTATTCTCAGAATTTTTTTGCAGCCAAGTCAAAAGACCGTTTTAAATATGTTTGCAGACATAAGGTATGCGCCTCAAGGTCAACATAAAGGGTCTGGTAACATTTTGAAATGTTGTTTGCTGTTTTTGTTCTCTGTTCAGTACCTGGATCTTAGCATATCTAGAAGAGGGGCAGCGAGTACAGATGCTTCTGGATGCATGGCTGCACATTTCATACAAACTCCAAGCATATAGATGAGTTTCCCCAGGACGAGAAAGTCTCTATCAAGCAAGTCAACACCCTGCCTTTTCTTATCAAAGCCCTGCATGGCAGGGAGCATAAACGCTGCTGCATACACTGGAAATTTATTATGGGACCATTCTATTTGGGCTTCTTGCCAATCTGCTGATTTTAGGCTCCTCTGGCGCGTCTTTCCTCTCTTAATCTGACCAGGTTTTGAAGGAAGTTCCCTCTCATAACGATTTGTCCAATTCAGTAAAGATTTTGATTCTGAAATCTCTTTCCAGGAACCAGCTCCAGCAGGCCCTATGTCACTAGGCAAGAACCAAGCCTGGGTCTCTGACGTGGTTGATATGAGTGCCTTAGCCTGTTTAGGCTTCATAATTTTGGAATGAGCAAGCTCCTGAGCAGCCTCCGTCATGACATCAAGTATCATTATGCGTTGACTGACATCTATACTAGGAGAATACAGTAGTTTGTTTAATGTCTCCAGAGATTCCAATGGACATGTCACGAGCAAAGCAACCAATGCTCTTTGTCTCTTGTCTTCAGCTGAATCTTCCTCACCTTCTACAGCCAAGTCAGAACAACGAACCTGTACAAGAGTTCTCACAAGATCACTCGCTACGTGCTTAAGCTCATCAGGTGATGCTCGGACAAGTTTTTCAGCAACATTAAGAGCATTCTCCACCTGCAATATGAAAGTAAAATTAATGATCAAGGAGCCAGGGATAATATTCATCCCACTTGGGTAACTTACTACTGATTATTGTAAGAAGATCATCTGACTAAATTTTAAACCTACGAACTTGGTTTACTTACCCCATCAGCATCATCGGATTTCCGAAGTGCTGCAACTACATCAACCAACTGTGAAAATTTTCTTTTCAAATCTGTGTCATCATCTGACAAATCATATGGCTGTAAAGATGACTCACTTGAAACATCAGAACTCTCACTAGCATCGTCATTTTCATTGTCATCAGAGCCCGACTCATAATTTAGTGTAACTGGATCGATGATCTCGTCTGGGTCAACCAACTTCGGTTCATATGATTTCCTATTTTTACTCTTCCCATTACTTGATATACCATCATTGGCTTTACGGGTTAAGTCCTTTTCCAGCACTGAGGTAGTAGATGCTTCAGGATTGTCTATACCCTGTTGTATGCAACTTGAGGTTCCTGAAGTCACTTTCTCAGGGGTAGACAACCCAAATTCCCAGTTGATAGTGTCCTCAGTGCAGCTATCATCAAGGTATAGAGGATTGTTGGGGTCAATCACCTTGGAGAACACTAGAGCAACACTGCTGGCCATTTTCCGAACTAAATGATTTGGGCTTTCCAGCCTACCTGCCAGCAAAGAATATAAGATATATAATGATCGCTAACTTTGCAAGACAGTATACTGATAGAGACAACGGTGAAGAATTTACAGCTCACTCCTTTGAGAATTGAGTGCATCACATCCTTAGTCTCGTCTAGTTCCTCTTTAGACATCTTCTCCAGGGAAAGGCCTACAGCTGCAGATACATCTAATATTGCAATATTAAGGGACAACAAATTCCAAAATAAGTATAATAAAACAATGGTAGTTTCTATAGAAAAGTTACAGGTATAAGTTGCAGGGATTTCATATTTATGTTGTAGGCTTGTAGTGTCTACAAGGTTTCCCAATGTAAAGGCCAGACGTAAAAATCATCAGGAGTTATTGCAGACTAATATCAGATGCCGGATAAAAACATGAAGGATACAAGTTTGCTGCTCCATTGGGGCTGATTGCACAAACTCCTTTTTTGACCATACTGCTACCAGATGCTGCAATGTGTCCAAGAAATTTCGGGTATTGTGACCTTTAGCGAGTGAATTACTATCAGGTGGGCGTTCAAGAATAGCAAACTGAAGGATCCATCGCAGGCAGCAAACAGGAAATACTTTCCAGAGTAAAAATTTGTCAGAAAACATTGACCTAATAAACAGGAAATCTGAAATTAAATCCTTGTATAACACAAAACAATACTGCAAAATGAACTAGTAGCAAAACAATGCATTCTTTCCCATAGATAATAGAGCTTCAACGAAGTGAGTTTCATTCGCTCAGAAACCTTACTGACATGAACTTTTTCTACTATATGCCTATCTGATGATGTAATAAAAGACATAACAGTAATCACATGCTTGGATCCAATATTTCAGAAATTACTACCCAAAAAAAAAGTCGAGATTGATGGCAAAAAACCAATTCTGCTAAATCAATTTCGACTTCAGATAAAACCAGGGAGAAGAGGGTGAAGGAAAGGAAATATATTCACTGACCTTACTGATATCTGGTATTGAGAAACCCGATGAAATAATAGCCAAAGAATCCAGTAGGCTTCAACATCACTGACACGTTCAGATGCAAGCTGATGCAAAAGTTGCTCAGACATTCTTTCTACAGCATATGAATCGCTCATTGCTTGTATCACATTCAGCCAAAATTGGGATTCTGGGTTTGATTCAAAAACATCTGAGACAACTGGCTCTATATTTGATGATAATAAGCTCCGTACGTGACCAAGAATCCGGGGGATTATCTCGCTTAAAAGTACATCTGTGAAAAACTCAAAAAAGAAGAACACTTTGATTACAAATCCATCGACATCTTACCAGAATACTCTTGCATATCAATTGTCATGCTCTACTGACCAGAGAATAAATGCAATTCTTGCACAAACCGTTTCTCCACTGTGATGCTTAAAATTATAATAGTTACCTACAGATCCACGTCGACATATACGAGAAAATGTTTCCCCAGCAAATAGTAATGTCCCATTCATGTCACTTTTAAGAAACGCTCCATCTAATAGATTTGTATTCCTCTCTTCTGCTAGAGAAAGAAGCTGAACTGTAACTTGCTTGAAGAACAAACTATAGTACTTATGTCAAGATAAACAAAAAATTGGCAGTAACGGAAAAATTTTGATCTGCAAATAAGTAGAGCTATCATATTTCTAACGGCACTATGTTAAAATAATCAAAATAGAAAATTTAAACTATAACCATTATCACGGAATACACTTTTTCTAAGTATACACAAGTATTTGGTACAATTATCCAGCACAAGAGACAAAAGGATACTGTGAAGAAAGAGAAGTTGGAGCTCTCAATTGTGCTTTGTCAGGTATGGATGCAACAATCTGTGCCACTCTAGATACAGCTGGCTTAAGATTTTCGTTTATATAATCTTCAGATTGGCAAGAACCACCGAATTCTCTAGCCACCCGGAGCACCCCATTATTTTCAAGCAAGCAGAGTATGAGTAATCTGTGTAATGGTAGAAAAAAGTCCGAGAGGTTAAGTGTTAGTAAAGAATGATATTTCAGATATCTATCCTAAATCCACACGATAGATAGTGGAATGACTGAACCCCTTATTGTTTTCAACTAACCACCAGACAGTAACATGCCCTTATTCCGTACCTTTCAGTATTAGAGTGAATGGCCTTAACATCAAGATCATCACCTCCACTCTTCTGCAAACAAGGGACCAGGGTCTGAACTACCTCGGAGGCAAGTCCATGAACAAAGAAAACATCATACACATGTTTACGTGCTGATAAGGGGAAACAAGCTAGCCAGTTGGAAGCAAGATCTGCACACAACACCAAAACAAATCATATGTAAAGGCATGCACAAAAGCATCAACAGTAAAAAAAATGGGTGAGCCAAAACCAATGAAAGAGATGCCAAATTTTCCTCAAGAATCTCCACGAAAATCAGCTATAAATTATAATCTTTACGTTTATAAACCTCCATTTGATTCAACGCCCTTCTCTACACGCCTAGAGTGTTGGTGATTTGACTGACTTACATATATTTCTCTTCCCAAAACTCGAATTTTTGAAACTTACGGCCAAATGAATAAAAGCTGAGATATATAAGAGAACTTCACACACAAAAATTCAAGAAAACATGAAGGCAATAGAAAATAGAGCTAAGAAAAGTACCAATTAACAGAAACCGAGCAAATGTCGAAAATGCAGCTCCTCCGTAGAATGCCTGCCACCACTCTCTTCTCTCAGCTGCAGAAGGAGCCTCGGAACTAATTATCTGCACACAATACAACCACAGAAGCTCAAATCTCTAAGAAAACTCGCTGCAACAAATAAATTTCGATAAAAATTCGTGAAATTTCAAAATTTCAAATTTCACATCAGCCAATAGCTCACCTGCTCTCTGTATTGCTCGTCAATAGCACCTGAAATTCCAAAACATTCAGCTCGCAAAACATTTCTTTTGTTTCATTTTCAATCAAACGACACAATAAGTGAACAAATTTGCAAACTTTCGGTTTTGGAATTTTCTCGGAAACCAAACAGCCGGTTCAGGAACTCGGAAAATCGAGACTTTTCGGGTGAAACGCAGAAGCTGAAAAGTTACCTGAGAGAAGAGAGGCGTCGAGAGGGAAGAGAAGAACGGCGAGGGAGTGAAGTGCGCAGATGACTTGGTCTACGTGCTTCGCCTTCTTCACGGTTGCGATTGCTTCTCCTACTTTCTCAAGAAGTTTCTCTTCTACTTCGCTTCGTGTTTTCGGACCTTTCTTCTCCATGTTTGTTTGTTGCTCTCTACAACAATCTGAAGCTTTTCGCGGCCGAAATTTTGTTGGCCGATATGCAGCGAGTCTGCTTTTCGGCGGCAGAAATAATCAGTTTCGGAAGAGACGGTTCGAGACTTCACGGCTGCTTTTGTTAACTTTGTTTTAATCTTTTTAGTTTTTATTTAAACTTTTTTTTTCTTTTAATATTAGCAATTTAATGGGGGGGGGGGGAAGTTTGGTAAAAATGATCATCTAATGAATTTTTTATTTTCTTTTATCTTTTTCACTTGAAAATAATTAGATTTTAGAGAAATGTTAAACCAAACCTCCTAAATTATTTTAAATTACGTATTTGTATTCTTGAGATTTTATATGATTTTTTGAGAATTTATAATAATTTAATTTAGTTTAGTTTAGTTTTAAATTAAACTAGCTACGAAGTTGGAAGTTTGGAAATTATTTATTTAAAATGTGTAGACCTTTCAAGGTCACAAGTTTAATTTTTGAATAGAGCTTGATCTCACGAACGCGTGGGGGCAAACCGTTTGTGAAACGGAGTTATAACGAAGAAGTTATTAACGTTTAAAGTCAGAGACATTTTGGTAAGGAAATGATAGAAAAGGAGAAAAAGGAAGAAGGAATTGGGGGGGGGGGGGGGGAGGGTGACCAGGGAGAGAGAGAACTGGGAGGAGAAAGGAGAGAAAAGAGAAACGGAGGATCATATTACATCAAACAACCACTTGGAAACCCCTCCACGACCTTCCCTCTTTCTATTACATCCCAAAAATATAGGGATTTGGACTTTAAATTAGGAGAAACCGCACGATGGGGTGCGGCGGGTGTGTGTTCGAATCAACTAAATCTGAAGCAAACTACATCCATCTCCACCACCATTAGACTCCCCTTGAGGTCTGGAACAAAAACCAAACAATGGTAGAGGCGGCGGAGCACCGAAGGTGAGGTTTTGAGGCCACCCATTTATAGGGTTTCCAGCGGGTTCGAGGCAAATTGGAGCTTTTCCAGGCCAAATTGGACTTGTCCACAGGTATAAAGTTTGCTCTACTCTTTGAGGTCTTCATTTCTATGATTTTTTAGAATTTTTAGAAATAGTTGAATTCTCCGGCGAGCTGGGTGCGAAGGTGGGTGCGGCGGGGCATGGTCAGGGAGCCGACATTGTGTTTTTACGCGAATTTTGTTATTCTAATTATGCTTTTGAGACCTAACTGATGTGGTTTGAATATTAATACGATTGTGGTATATGTTGGATTAAATGAATATATTTGGATTTGGTTTGATTTTTGGAAATGTGAATGGCTTGATCCCGGTTTAGGGTACGTAAGCAGTCTAACGAGATGTTAGATGCAGCCACACAATAAGTGAGATTAAATAAACGAGACAAAGCTTTGATTGAGAAATTGAACTAACTAAGGAGTTTGGAATTTTATTATAAAAGGAAATCTTATGTTTTGTATATATAAATTCTAGTTATAAATTGTGTGAACGTTTAATAAATTTAAGCAGGAAATTATGTAATTATGGTAATTGGACAATTGAGTTTGATCTCTTCTTGGGAAATAGAGTGTATATGAAGGTATTGGTGTTAAAGTAAAAATATAAACGTACGTTTTGCTAAGTAAGTTTGGGGGATACTTATGTGAGTAGTTAGGAAAAAAAATTTAATTAAAGAATAAAGTGTACTGATAATAAATCAAACAAGAGAATTGAATTGAGCCTATCATTAGAATTATTTCCCGAAAATAAATATTTCGAAGCTGGGGCGTTACACTCGGGCCTTTTCTTCGGATAGTTCATGGGCTTTGAATCCGCCCCGACCCGGCCGGGGTTGCTTTCGGGTGGGCTCGGATAGTAGTAGCACTACAGTCGCCATGGGAGAGAAAAGAGAAGAGGGAAGCGAGGAAAAGAGGTTAAATTGGAACCACCATTTCTACGCTTCAGCTCGGGTTTATTAAGGTTTAACTAGAACCCTTTTGGTTTTTTGGTCAATTAACTAAAATTATTATATATCCCACTGCATGTGTGATTGGCTCAAAGGTAGGAGATGGGGGTTGGATCTGGTTTGGGTTTTCTGGGTGCATGTGTAATTGAAAATTTCAAACTCATCCCACTACAGATTTTTTTTGGGTTTTCTGGGATTCAAGTTCTAATTTTGGGGTTGGATCTGGTTTTGAAAATGGAACGATTGCAGATTTTTCTCCTATTTTGCTTCAATTTCGCCGAATATGGGCTTGAAAATGGTTGTGGTTGCAGAGGCTCCGCGAAGGGATTATCGAGCCTTCTCTCATGGTTTCACAAGTACAATCAGAAGAAGATGATTTGTAGAAAGTGCTATACCGTCGACAGAAAACACGTCTCGCTCCATCTTCGTCGATCTAGAGCCCATCGTCATCGACGAGGTTCGCTATCGTCGTAGCACCATCATCGTCCATCTTCGATCTTTGCTATCCCTCAAGTCCCTCGGAGCATCCCCGATTTGGAGCCTCATCTCATCGTCGACACCATCTTCGACTGCCGGAGTCGGGAGATAGAGACATCGAGTTGGGATTGGGAGACATGAGCGAGAGAGATGGGGACAAAGGATGAGCTTGACTGGTTGCGCCACTACAAGTCTGAGTCTTTGAGATTGAGATTCAGAGAGAGATAAAGTGTTGTGACTTGTGATAGGGTTGGGAATCAACGATGTTGATTTGAGTGATATTAAATCAAAGGTGGAAACGGTTCGGGCCGGGTGCCTGTTTTCTCAAAATTTTGGACCTGTCCCACCCCATCCCGTTTTCTATTTAGAATTTTTAGACCCGCCCCAAACCACTTGGACCCGTCCCAACTCGCAGGCCCAAGGCTCGTTTGCCCACCCATAATCAGATGAGCCGAAAATGATGCCTGATTTGTTGATGATGGTGCACTTTTCGAGTCGAAAAGAGAGGACTGAAGGTGAATGAAAGAAATTGATAGAGGGAAGGAGGCTTTTTCTCGTTATAAAATCACCAAACTTCCAACAACAGTGTTAGCCTCCATTTTTTAGGCCTTTCCTGCGTGAGAAAATACTGGGACGAATGTCTTATGCATCCTTTTCCTACGAAAAATCACTCAGAAACCTGAATAGTGTAAAATTTAGTTAAACTTTTTTTTGACAAATTATTTGTACGCGTCTATTGTATTATGTTAGTATTCATCTGCTTGGTTTCTCTTTGGGACTGACGATCTGGATGTGTCCATGCAAAATGAAGAACTTTCCATCTTTTTCCAAAGACCATTTGAGAGAGATAAGAAAAAGGATACAGCTCCTCTTTGGGGGTTTAAATATCCATATAAGTGAAACTTCGACAGAAATTGCCCAGTCTTTGTTTATTCATACATGAGAAATTTCTGGAGATGCTTCCCCAATCTTTATTCTTTATTCATAGAGATTTGGAGGCAGGCGAGGTTCGACGAGGACTTTAAGTAGGGTAGATTTCTTGTTGGAATCTCCAAATCCTTGGCACATATCAACGGTTGCATTTGTTGGAGTAGAGATCTCAAACGCATGCAGAAAACTAGCCAGGATCAAAAGCGTCAAGTGAAGGCCCAAATTTATGCCAGGGCATGCTCTTCGACCGCTACCAAAAGGCATTAACTCAAAATGCCGACCCTTGACATCAACATCCTTATGGCTTGTGAGAAATCTTTCCGTCTTGAACTCCATCGGGTCATCCCAAACCTGCGGGTCAGTATGAATCTTCCACGCGTTCACTGTCAGCCACGTGCCTTTCGGGACATGGTGCCCTCCCACAATGCAGTCCTCGATGAATTCTCTGTAGCCAGAGAATGTTGCATATAAACGCAACACTTCTTTAATAACGGCTTGCAGGTACACGAGATTATTGATATCTAATTCATTCACTAGTCTTCCTTTGCCAACTTGGTTGTCTAGTTCTTCATAGACTTTCTTCAAAGCATGGCGATTGTCCAACAACATTGAGATTGCGCAGCCCATGAGCACGGAGGTTGGATCGCTTCCTCCAGCAATCAGATTCTGCAAAGCCATAATCAAGTTGCTTAATCAATACATATCCAATTATAATACAAAACAACGATTACAGATGGCTAAAAGAGAAGTTTGGTGCTGCATGCGAGTTAATTAAGAACATTCATACTATGTACCAAAACTGTTGCTTTCATGACGGTATCAGCATCAAATGATTCATGTTGCGCAACATTTTGTCTGTCGAGGACTGAAAGCATCAGGTCGATGAAATCTCGATTATTGTCTCCATCTTTAGCTCTTCTCTGCTTGTGCTCCTCCAACCAGGACATAACTATGGTATCGAGCTCTTTGGCAGTTTTTTTCATAGCTTTTTCGTGCCCACCAATATCCAAAAACCTAAGCCATGGAACAGCATCCCCAAGGGCAAACAATCCAATAAAATGAAAGAGCTCCCTCACGGCCTTATGGCACCGAACTTCGTCTATCTCGTCACCCAAATTATTATATCTATTTCCAGCAACCATCCTAAAAAACACCTTTAGAGTTAAATCGTTGAACCACTGCTTCAGCTGCACCAAAAGTTGTCCGGAACCATTTTCTTTTGAATCGTTTCTTTTAGTCCATAGATTGTATACCTCTTTTGTGGCCATCACTACTTCGGATTCTCGAACATGTTTGAATTGCTCAAGCATGTGGCTTGAGAGTAGCTCTTGGACTATAATTTTGCGCAAGTCACGCCAGTATGCACCATACGGGCTTAACCCTAGCATGGCGTGGTTGTAGCTCAAGATTTCAGCGGCTATAGTTTTGGGACGTTAAGAAATAACCAAGTCGTTGCTGGTGAAGCACTCCTTTGCAGCCTCCCAAGTATTTACCACAAGGGCGGAGTGGATGCCAATTCTGATGCTGAAGACTGGTCCATACTTGTCCGCCAATGCTCCCAACGTTACATGGGGTGGAACTGGGGCCGTCTGAATAGGTAGAGGTGACCTACTAGAGGCCACCCGCCTGCCACTTTTGGTGGTTCGGGAAGTTTGGCATTTGCAGCAGCAGTTCTAAGCCTCCAACATGTTACCAATTTAAAACCGGACAATTGCAAATTTTTTTGGTTGAAGATCATGTTTGTCTTCTTAAGCTTGTTACAACATGTTACCAATGTCAACTAGGAAAACAATGGATTAGAACCAAATACACTAACAAACCAATGGAGTAAAACCAAATCACAATGAGAAAATACTAAGAGCATGCAAAGCTTAGTTTTTAGTTCTTGTTCGACATGCAAAGATAACTATGAAGAGCAAAAAAGTTCTCCAATTTCAATCCCTAAGATACAGTGAAACGAAAATTGTGTTGAAACCAATGTGTGTGTATATAATAATCAGAGGGATTATTTTCACTGTATATATATACACACGCAGCAGCAGCAACAGCAATTACCACAAAATGTAACAAAATCTAGCAGCTGCTTTCGAATCCACATTTACGGAGTATAAAATGAGGTTTGCGAGTTCATGAAATCGTAATCCTCTCATATGGAGATGAAAGGAAGCTTAAGAGAGCGAGCTACTGGAGAAAAAGAAGTGACAAAGTAGGATTGCATGTTTAAAAATGTAAAGTGAGAAGACGAAGGTGAGGTATTTAGGAGAAAAGCAAGCTAGAGAGAACGGTTTTATCTTGAATTTAGCGAGTTATCTATTTCAATCAAATCCTAAATACTGAACGAGACCTTCAAGAACACCGAGGGGACTTCGCAAAGAAACCTTCAAGAAACTACAATCAATCTCAGTCATAAAATTCATCTGAAGTAATTAAAGATCCTTTAACAAACGCATCACAACCTTCATATCAGAACATAATCATAAACGAAAGATAGATTGGAAGTCTAACCTGCAATTGAAAGAAGAGAAGCAGAAGATTGACCTTCTATCTAAACAAGACTACAAGAAGAAAGAGAATAAATAACACAGTCGACTCTTTTTTGCCTTTTCTGCATGTTCTTATCAGGAATTAATGTCACGAGGGAGGCATGACGCTAGTGAACAAAATCTGTTCAGAACTGTGAATTTCAACTCTATTCATTTAATTCACCAAAAATAAATTTTATTCATTTAAAACCAACAGATTTGAAATTTATATGTTTGGAAAAAATGTTTTAATGGAAGCGTATTTTTTCTTATGTACTTCTCTTTTTTAAATTATGAGTGAGACCAACTTGCTGTGCAGGTACAGGAAATAACCTTTAATCATATCCCTAGGCTTTGTAACGGTGTCGCTCACCGCTAAGCTAAGTTTGGTCTTTCAATTGATACCTCTAAAGTTTGGTTTGCGGAGCTACCTGATGTTACAGGAGATGTCCTCTTCCAAGACTCGTTTGCGATTGAAGTTTTTCATCAATATAAATTGTTTCCACTTAAAAGAATTATGGGTGAGACCGTATCCAAGAATTTTTCCATTTCTGGTGAGAAGAGGATTTTCTTCTTACTCATTCAAGATAATTAAAGCAAAGTCCGCATCTTTGAGTTATGTATTAGTGGTTAAGCTTTAGGTTGTCATATTCAGTTATGTATTATTTCTGAGTCCGCATCTTTGAGTTGATTAAGTACAAATTACTTAATCACAGAAGCCCAACTAAATAGTAATCTTAACAGTTTGATTACAGCTCTAAATTTCAGTCGAGTTATAGCTGCATCTGACGCAGGACGAGCCAAGGAGTCTCGGGGAAACAAGGGATGGATGATTCACACGACCAAGCCAAATGCTTATTTTAAGGAGGAGAAAACTCTTCTTGGATTGACTTTTAATGGAGAAAACTCTCTTTTTGCCTCAACCTCTTGATAAGAACCATCACAACATACAACATCCCGAAAGAAAAAAGGAAGATGAAACCACATCTTGTTCATATCATCGAGACTACATTGTAATTTGCAATAAGTAGAAGGAAGCAATCCCTGCTTAATCACAAAAGCTGATCATGTCACAACACTTGATGGTAATCTTAACACTTTGATTAACAGCTCTAAATTGCGTTTAGCGAAATCATCTCTCTAAGAAAATTACAGGCCAGTCGAGAAGGAGCCGATATCTATAACATATGGGCTTCCCTTTCTCATTAACCAAAAGGTTTCTCAGTGCACACTTTTCCTCCGTTACTTTGTCATCCTAAGACTAACTTTTAATCCACCTAAATCACCTGATTATATCTTATTCACTTTACAGAAACAATTGCATTAAGTCAACAAGAACCTATGGACCTCTCTTTCACTGTTAGCATACGAACATCACGTTGCAGAAGTGTACAGTTTCTGGCAGAAATAATCCAAGCCCTTTGGGGAAAACCAATCCTTCTTCATCTGCAATTACCAAATGAAAGGTAGAGTCCATAATCGATACTGTTTTTAATTCTGCATCGTAAGTAAAAACATATGACAAAAGGTAAAACTTACAAAGTAGGGGTAGCCCTCAGTGCTGAAATTCTCGGGAGCACCTTCCATGAACAAGTTAATGTAGTAGAGAACAAAGTTACCACACTCGAAATCATCTCGCTGTTGTGGCACCTGAAATTTTTTCTTTTTTAGGAAAAGGTTTTTTAATGTGAACATCGAAAGTAACAAAGAGACTGTTAAGATCACCTCAGGCACCAACAAAGGAATTCGGTAGATAAGATCTTTCTTTTCAGGTCTTCCCTCTTCCATAAAAATGTCCAGTACAAATCTGAAAACGATGAAAAACACACATCAAACACCTAATAAGGGAACTGTAGCCTAAAAAAAAAATACAAATGCGATACACAACTTGCCAAAGAAAACCATACTTTCTTATATATTCTTCATACCGCCCCGGATCAGCACCTTGAAGAGAATCAAGCAACAGCATACATGGTCTTTGGGTTTCCGACTGCAGACTCTCACCAAAATGGCATAGAATTAAGAGGTTCCAGTGGCTCCTGAAAAGGAAACGTTTCAGAAAAGAAAATGTTGGAACTCCACGCATTCAGAGAATGGAACGAATTTAGCTCAGGGTAATGGAAGAAAGCTACCAGCAAACGATAGGAACAATGACATATTTCTTTGAGAAGATACACTTATTCTTAATCCACTTCAGCACCTTGGTCTTAATGTCTCGTTTAAGTTCTTTGTGAATGTTTTGTTGCAAGTACAAGCTAAACCATAAACAGTCAAGGTAAGCGAAAGAGGTCCTCTTGTCTTCTGAAAAGCTGTTCCACAAGTTCCTACACATTCCAAACAAATTTTTAAATCCAATTCGACAAATTAAAGGGTACTTACTCACGAACGATAATTTGAAAGACTCACTCAAAGTAACGCATGAAATCTCCAGAGTCCAGCTTTTCCTTTTTTCGTGAAACTGCACGTTCGGCAACCTTGTGAGGCCTCATCAGCTCTTTCACCTCTTCTTTTTTCCCAAATCTCTTTGACCTCTCGTGGCGAGTGAAGCGGGGAGGGCATTCCAAAAGGCACATTGAACTCTTCTTTACCTCTTTAATATCCTCTAGAGTTATTCTCTTCTTTTGAACAATCGAAGACGCAAAAACATGCCTCCAGCATGAGCGATGTTTCGACACATTTTGTCTGAAAAGCTCTGTTGGAGTACAAACACTAAAACCCATCAACCATTCACCAGCATTGAACTTACAACCAGAACAATAACAAAACAAATCATACACAAAAATCCTTCAACCGAAACGGTTCGGATTTTAATCTAAATTCCATCACCAAACCCTAAACCCTTGCAGAAACCGGCTTGCAAGGGAAAGGTTCCAGGAGCTCATATTCTAACCCAAAATGCTCAATGCGGGCACACTGGCATCCGAAAAAGCTTAAAAAGATAGAAATTTTCATCTAATCTCCATTTTTTTACGTTTTATTTAAAATATTTCATCTCATCCCACCATTTTTCTCTTGAATTAAAAACAAAAACTTCGCCTGTTGCCTAAAAATCCGAAGAAAAATGATATAAAGTTGGAAACTTTGAACAATAACTATCTGTACGTTGAGTAGGTAAACGCAGGAAAGCAAGAAAAATGGCAGCGACAGAAGAAGAGTAAAAGACTTAGATGGGTTGGTCGGGAAGGCGAAGGAGAACATACCTGAGATTGGAGAGTTTAGGTCGGAGGAGTCGGAGTCGGAGTCGGTGTCGGTGATGGTGTCAGAGGAGTCGAGGACGATTTCGACGGTGGTGGGTTTTTTGTTTCTGTTGGACTTTCTCGTCCGTGACATTTTGAAACACAAGTACTACGGAGGTTGCTTGCAACAGAGTTACAGGGCTTTCCCAGAGGCTTTCTCTTGGGTCATTGCATTTGTGGGGGAAAATATGGACCGTCGATTTTGTTGTCCAACGACGCTCGCGATTCTCTGGATCACCGGGGCTTTTGGTTCTTCACTTCGCGAATTGTGATCAGTCCATAAACTTTATCCAAACGTGTTTAAATCAACCAATGAAAGTTGAATACAATATTAGTTGTTCAATTTGCATTATGCAATGTGCTTAATAGATTGATCATGGCCAATTTACATAGCTATTGATAATCTTGGGTATTGTAGGACAATCGACATTTTAGAAGGGTTTGGCTTAGGTAACTAAACCGAGTAATTGATAAGTGTTTATCTTTTGAAACTCTTGCGGTTTAGAGTATTACTATCAGGGTCAGTCCTGAAAATAAGTGTTTATCTTTTGAAATTCTTGTGATTAAGAGTACTACTATCAGGCCGGTCTTAAGAATTTGCAGGCTCAGAGCGAGAAATTAAATGGGAGG